ATTTAATAGTGGGAGCGAGTGGGAGAGAAGACAAGCGTCTTGTCATGTGACCTTCCTTACAGGTCCAAAAAGCAGGCACTGGTAGTTTATTGTTTCGTGTTGGAATGAGACTAGAGGCTAAGGACCGTATGAACCCAGAGCTCATCTGTGTCGCTACTGTGAAATCAATAAAACCAAATGGGGACTTGTTGATTCATTTTGATGGATGGAGTGACGGCTATGACTACTGGTGTAAGCCGGATTCAACTGATATCCATCCAGCCATGTGGTGTAACAAGCATAACAAGAAGGTTACTCCTCCTAAAGGTAACTAACTGTGGTGGTATACGAGTGTGGTTTATTTGTTGTCTTTTTTAAAGGTCACGTTGGGAATTTCTTGTGGAATACTTATTTACATGATCCGGATATTAATCCTGCCCCAGCTCATATATTCACTGAGGTAAAGTTAAAGTTATGGTATTTTTCAGAAAATGGCATATTTTTAAATGTGGCCCTAACTCAAAAAATTGAAGTTGGAATCAGCTCAAACTTTCTATACAGCATAAGGACATCAGTATGTATGAGAAAATTTAATAAAAATTGGGGGTGATTATTTAGCCATTTTTTGGAAAAAACCATGGGCTATAGCCTTGGGTATTTTTCAGAAATTGGCATATTTTTTTTAATGGCCATAACTCGATAAATTGAAGTTGGAATCAACTCAAACTTTCTACATAGCATAAGGACATCAATATGTATCAGAAAATGTAATAAAAATTGGGGGTGATTTTGGAGCCATTGTTCAGAATAAACCATGTGCTATTTTAGCCTTGAAAATTGGCATATTATAATCTGACAATACTGTGAAATCATTGCTTCAGCGTTCCGATCTAATTTTTCATTTCTGTTCAATATACATTGTAGTTGCAGCTGGGTGTTGCTCCATCAGGTAACAGGAACCAGTTGAGATTATTCCGAGTTGGTATGAGACTGGAAGCTAAAGACAGAGCCAATCCTGCCCTCATTTGTGTTGCTACAATAACTGATATTAACGATAATAAATTACTCATTCATTTTGATGGCTGGTCAAACCGGTATGACTACTGGTGTGATCCGGATACAGTTGATATCCACCCGATAAGCTGGTGTGCTAGTAAAGGAATTCACCTTCAACCACCTCATGGTAAGATATTAACAAAATAATAATTACCATAGTATGAATCTGTATGACAAGAAGCTTTCTAATATTTTCACTTAATATAATAGCTACAACAATGAGCTTTAGCTGTTATTTGAGTTTTTCTGTAGGTCGGCACGGTCGGTTTACTTGGGAGGTCTATCTACAGGAGGTTGGAGCAGAGAGAGTGCCAAATGAGGTCTTCACACCAGCTCAAAGACAATAATATTTATTATTGGTGTAGTGGAGTCAGACTTGGGTCAAATACAAATAGTATTTGTAATTAGTCGTATTTAAATACTTTTGAAAGTATTTGTATTTGTATTTGTAATTTGAGTTTTTGCAACAGGAAGTATTTGTATTTGCAATTGAAATACAGCAGGGAAGTATTTCAAAATACAGCAAAATACTTTAAAATACTTCAATGTGGATGAAGATGCTGTTTGAGTGACAAAACTTTGAAATACTAACGTTCACTAAATGCAATACATGACTATAACTAAATATTATTGATTATACATGCATGCATAATGAAAAGAGGCTTTCAATTTACTTGATTGATTAATTCATAAAACTACGTAGTTAATAACTGTCTATACTTGAGAAGAAAGTATTTGTAATTGTAATTGAAATACATGTATGCAGTATTTGTAATTGTATTTAAATACAAAGCTGAAAACAGTATTTGTATTTGTATTTGTATTTTTGTTTTTGTACAGTATTTGTATTTAAATACTTCCACGTTGTATTTGACCCAAGTCTGAGTGGAGTTTTAGCAAGTTTACAATGTCATGTATTAGATATAAATATTACATGTGTTTTTCACTCGTAACTATTTTTCTATTATCACTAACATTTTTATTCCTTTGATTTTTATTTTGTAATTGGCCAGCTCATGATTTTATATACAAAACCGAAATAACGGACTGAGTCTATGGATCCGGAACCTCGTTAACTTAATACGGATATTTCGGAATATCCGGATTAAGTTAACGAGGTTCCGGAATCCATAGACTCAGTCCGTGCATGGCACGTGATCCTCACGCAACACTAGTCTGCTGGTACGCGAGACTAACGCAACACGGACTGTTCGAACCATAGCAAGTGAAATCCGCTGTAAACTTCTCAGAACTTCCCCCTGATTTCTCTAATCATGGCGCAAGAGTTGTCAGCGAGCAGAGCAATAACATCGTCACCTATTCTTTATAGTAAGTTGCACTGCCTCTGGCTTCTCATCATGCATATTCTTAACATCGTCTTTGATATGCTAAAGAGGGCGTGACAGACTGAGCATGTTATTTTTTAAAAGTGGGGCACGAGACTAGATGTAAGTGTAAACAACAAATGTACATGATTTCCCAATTAGACTAATAAGAATTTTGCCATTGCATGCTTCTATTCTAAATTCTACTTTCAAGTAGATTTTTGCTTGACCACATTCCTTTGATATGCTAAAGAGGTGTGACAGTGAAGTAGCATGTTATTTTTTAAAAATGGGGTGTGAATTTTTAATTATTTCATAGCTTTGTCTGGTTCTGAAACTTCTGATGAAGTTTATTCATTGCCTAATTGTGATGAGGAAAGTCATGTTCAACCTGCCAGAGAACACTTTGATTTGGTTGACGAATCTAAAAAAATTTTAAGTAAGTTTCTATGTTACATTGTTTTTATGTTAACTGTCATGCATATTGTATAGGCATAAATGATCTTGTGGATGTGCTTACAATTTTAAGAAAATACCATTTTGTTAGTTCTGGTTATTTTATTTTTTGTCTTTTTCTGGGCTTGAAATATAACACTATAAAAGATATTGAAGTGAAATGCAGAGAAGATCCTCAGATTTGTCTTCGTGAAGGCCTAGCTAAATGGCTGATGAAAGCTGATGACGTGCCAAAGAATGGTGATCCAACTTGGTATACTCTATTGGAAGCGTTGCGATCTGCACTAGGCCTTGATAATGCAGTAGCTAATGGAATTGACAAAGAAAGTAATTACACATTATATACTTATTATTATCTCTACTCATTATGATATTACATATCAGAACATGCAGCTTGTTTCCTCTTTACTCATCACATATCTGAGGATTTTATCAGAAATACCACCTGTCTTAAAAATTTCTCTATTATGAAGTTGCTAGTACGAGAAATGAAGCTAAAGTTGGTTGAATCTGCAGATAGTTTTGAATTATACAGTGCTTTGAAAATAAGCATCTGTTTAAATCATGAAAATCTTCAAAAATTTGCTGTAATCTTGGACAAAGATAGTGCTACAAAAAATACTGGAAAAGTTGTTATGCAAGACTACAGTAAGTACCACCATGTCTGCTTTCTATTCGTTTAATTTTGCTTTTGTATTTTTAGTGAAAGTGTTTCATGATAATGATGTCGCTGTGAATAGTGAAGAAACAGGTATGCCATTATTATTATTATTATAACTATATACATTATTTTAATATTAATGGTTACAAAGATAGCAAAGCTAAATCTGTTTCTGTTTCATCTGATATAAGTAATGACTTCAAAAAAAGACGAACCCATTTTGCAGCTACTTTTGACAAAATCAGTGATGTTGTCAGCGTTAGCATTGACAGATTAAAAAAGTATCTTCAATATTATCTTGAGTATGACGATAAAGAGCTTTCTAAATGTGAAACAGTTGCAGATATTTTAAATTGGATAAGTAGACAGTGCTCATTGACAAATATTGAACTTTTGGAGGCAACAGTGAAACGTTTTGAAATTCATGGCGCTGTATCGATTATAGATGAGTACAAAGCACAAAATCAAGAGTTTGTTGACAAAATGACACTTGACCTGTGCCTCGATGAGCATTTTTCTTCGCCTCCTGTTTTACAACTAGAAGAAATTAAATTTGTTGTTGATAAAAATTTACGTGATTGCACAGTTAAGGATGTTGATAAATTTATTCAAGAAGCTGCTACAAAAAAATTATCTACACATGTCAAGTTGTCTGTCATAAGAAGAGGCAATTCTTTCAGCATTGTTTGCTCTTTCCCTGTTGTACTAAGTGAAAAACTCATTTCAACGGCACTCAAGAATCTAAAAGTATTGAAAGATAATGGATTATTGAAGCTAACCATTGGATACTGCACTGTTTACGACTACAAAGATGAGGTAATTGTCATAGCATTGTTTGTTGTATAAACTATAAAGTTTTAATAATTTATTGTTTTTATCTGTTCACATGTAGAGTTTGTGTTACCCTGAAGAAGGAGAGGCCTCAGGTATGTACTATAATAATAGTTAATTAGTCTTATCATAATCTTCAGATGAGTACATCTCTGCAGTCTATACTAGTAGAGGCATGTTGGAGCAGTTGCTTATAGCAACAAGCATACAGTTAATGTACAGGGAAGAACAAGACAAAAAAGCAAGCCTCTTCATCAGTTTATTATATTGCCGATTTTATTTTTCAATAGGAGATTGAGGCTCTTGAGAAAAAAATCGAATTGTTAAATGAGCAGTTGTCCTCATTTCAGGATTTATCAGAAAGTAATGATGATCAATAACTGATATCAGTTTTGTACTCTAATCAACAGAGAAGGAAGATTATCCTCTAGAAGAAGAAGAGACCCCTCAAACTGGAAAAAGTCAAATGCTTGAAGGTATGTATTATATGCTGGATTTCCCACAGGATTTTGGCATAATGCTTATGCAGCTTCCTGCCAGTAGATTGTCAAGTTGAATTGGGCCAAAGCCCTGGAAAATTACAGGGAGAGAATTTTTTATTAAAAAATTTTTTTGATATACTTAAGCTACATGTATGTCGAGCTGATTCTGATTAAATTTGGATTTTTTTTACAAATTTTCCAAATGCCATGTATATACTGTTCATGAAGTATGCTGTTAGCTCACTTACATAACATGCTTTGTGGGACACCCAGATTATATGTATGACTGTCCTAACTGTTTGCAATCAAATAGAGAAAGAAATTGCTACAGAAGAGGTGGAAGACCCAAAAGGTAATTATGTGATAACATACCGTATAGGGGTTTTATTTTGTTGGTATGCAATTTCACGAATTTGTTCAGATTTGCCATTTGTTGATATAAATTTTTGCGAATCTTACCTTCTGCAGCCATTTTTACTAGTGTGCCACACCTCTTTTGTGGAATTTAATTTCGCGAATTTAATGAAAACGCGAAATTTATTACCAGTGAAATATAACCCCTATACGGTAATTCTATTTATTTTATTGTGTGAGACCATTTCTTGAAAGCATTCGGTCTTAAACACCTTTAGATATGATAATAGAAAAAATGAAGCAAGAAATTCAAGAAAAGGACTCCTTAATTGCTATGAAAATGAAGGAAATATCAAAATTAAGAAAAGCATCAAAAGGTAAGATTTTGAAAAATATGATGTAGTTATTATTATCACGTTTAGATAATACTGAAGAAATAAAAAATAAAGATTCTAAAATTTCAGGTAATTAATTGTTATTTTTAATTATTTTATTACTGCTATAATAGCTGATGGTGAGGAATTGATATCTCTCGAAAAGAAATTGGCAGAGAAAGAAAGTTAGAATTATCAACTTTATTTTTAATTATAACTTCATTTTTTAGCAATTATAAGGGGATATCAGACAGAAGGTATCAATAATAAATTTTGAAACTACAACAAAATAATCAATTTATTTTTATTTTTTATTCATACACACACCACTAATAGCCAATTATAGGATACCTACTCTAAACTTTGTGGATGATGCTATGTACACTCCTCCCGTTGATGTCGTAATGATGTCATTTGATAAATACAACAAGTTAGATGAAGATTGGTATAGTCGGGCATTTTACACCCACCACACCAATGGCTATAAAATGTGTCTCTGCATTCGATACGATGATATGAAAAAGTCTTCAAATTTACACGCTCATTTAATGGTTGGAGACTATGATGATGATCTTCAGTGGCCGTTCCGCGGTACCCTAATGACAGAAATACTACATCGAAAAACAAAAACATTTCGTTATTTAGCTAAAATTGTTTTTGATGATGACAAGTTTTGTGGTAGAATCTGGAATGGCGTTCCAACTGAAGCAGGAATGGCATCATCTATTGTTGGAGAAGGAATTTCTTTTGCTGAATCTGTTCAAGAGCCATTTACTGAATATTTAGAAGACAATAGCATAGTTATCCGTGTAAAGTCTGTTAATGTGGAATCACTAGG